GTTGATGAAGCTTGAATATGTTAATTTAACTGTGATTTGAAAAGATGTTTTGGAATGTTTCAATAAAACAAGGGAGAAATTACAGACTCTTTATGTAGACATGCATAAAAAGTACCTTTTTTGAAAGTTTAAAATTTGTTACAAGGCTAAAGAAGGCCTAAAAGAAAATCAATAGAATATTTCTAACAAGCCTATAATACAGAAAATTAACAACGAAGTGTATTCTATATTGACAAAAGGGAACCTTCAGTGAACAAAATGATTCACCTCAACAATCCGTAAATAATAAAAGGAAAGATATAATATTTAAGCTATATGAAATAATAAACAGATTTTCTTTGAATGATTTATATCCAAGTTAATAATAGAAATTAGGAGTACTAGAAATAATGGTTCTTGAATATTTGATATCCAATAATAATAGAAGTGGTAGGACAGGCCTTAAAGCAAGAGGACTGCTGAGCCCAGGAGTTTGAGACCAGCTTGGCCAACATAGTGAGACCCCTGTCTCTAAAAGAAATCAAAAAAGCAGCTGGGTATGGTGGTGGTATTCACCTGTAGTCCCAGCTACATGGGAGGCTGAGGTGGAAGGATTGCTTGAGCCTGGGTAGTTGAAGCCACAGTGAGCCACGTTCACACCACTGTACTCCAGCCTGGGCAACAGCACAAGACTCTGTCTGAAAAAAAAAAAAAAAAAAGTGAATCATAGGAACACATTGAAATAAGATTCCAATTTCTTGCTTTTGTGGCACTGAATACTGACACTGATTATGAAAAACTCATAATATGGGCATTCATGACCATCTGGATAATGAGGAAATGTCGGTTCAAAGACTACTTAAGTATAGTCAAGACAACTGAAATGCCTTGAACTCTTAAAGCCCATGTGTGAAAGAAACTTGACAGAGGTCTTCCCAATTTTAACAACAATTCTAAAACTTTGCATGACATCATTACCAATAATGAGCTGTGAGGCTAAAATAAATAAATAAATAATGTCTCACCTGTCAATAATAAATAAATGTTGATCCCAGATGCCAGGAAAGACCAGATTACCAATCCATTCTCCTTTTTAGAAAATTTTTAAAATTTTGTCAAATGAAGAGGAGAGCAAAGAATAGGTGCCCCCCCCCAAAAAAAAGATATAGTTAGTTAATATGAATAAAATACTAGGTTACTTTTCTGGATCCTTTTACGTGTGTGTTATTAAATTTATAATTGATGGTGATTGGTTTCTCTTCTAAATAAATAATCACTTTTATAACTAACTCCATATTCATAGTTTCATACTATTAAATTAAAGTAGACCCCCAGAGTCATACGTTTTGGACCCCATGAACCTAAATACACCTGCATGCAAAGTCCTGGACCTGTTTCAATGGCATCAGTCACAGTTCCTGGTGACAGTGAGGTGGAGGTGGTGTCAACACAGGCCCTCAAAGATCTTCAAATAAACAATGTCTCTTAATTTTTATTAGCTTTTTTGGTTTGTATGCTTTGTCTTTTTTCCCTAAAAGTGTGGTTCGAAGGGAAGAATTTTTTCAATTTTCTCAAGTTTTTCTCTCTGGTTTCACTGTTACTCATGAAAGCCAGAGGGCAGGGCTTTGGGCAAAGTGGTGTCCAAAAATCAGAAAAAAATTTAAATGTAGGACCACAGGATTAAAACTAACAGGAATGGTATAAAATAATAGAGAAAATGTGAGTTGTGCTGTGGTAAATGTGAGAAAATGTGACGGGTATCAAAGGGTAATGGGGGCGCGGAGGGGAGAAGATGTCATGGGGCAGGGACAGCTGGGGACACCCAGACCCTGGCAGAACGGCAGAGCTGCCACGCTGCCATGCGGTCACTCCTGGAATCATTTATTTTTAATAATTTGCATGAATAAAGAAAACAGCAAAACCATCTGTTTTGACAGCTGGGCCCATGCACCAGAAGACTTCTTACGGAGATAAGGAAACCTGGCCTAATCCTAGGAGACCAGAGGATGCCTGTATCAGCCGTGGTGACAACGAGGCTCTACAAATGGCGGACTCTGTGCCTTAGGCTTTGCTAGGGGCTTGATCATATTTCGTCAAATGTAACCCTTCCACAGACCTCAGAGGTAGGCATTACTGTTAGCCCCACACAAGGAAACAAAGGCCCTGAGAAATGCAGGCAATGCAAGAGCTGGTGGCGAACTCCCACCCTGTGTTCTTTCTTCCCAGTGAATGCGCTGGGTGAAGCCTGGCGTCTGCAGACATCTTCCGTGTTCTCCCAGATGGATCCCACATTTCCTCAAGGGCTGATGAAAGCAGCTACGTGACCAAAAGACTAAAAGGAAGTGGCCTGGAGAGTGGAAGGGTAACGCCACCAGAGTGAGAAGATAAGGATTCGAGGCTCTGATGGGCTTCCGGCCAGCTTGGGCCTAATTTTCACCCCCTAAATTTCTCTTTCCCTGTGAGTAAAACAAGAAGGACAATAGGCTGCATGGATGCGGCCCACATAATGAACAAGAATGACAACAGGCTGCACCGATGCGGCCCACATAATGAACAAGAATGACAACAGGCTGCACCAAAGTGGCCCAAACAATGAACAAGAATGACAACAGGCTGCACCGATGTGGCCCACATAATGAGCTGGGCCTGCTCTCAGTGCTTTCCAGACACTCTCTTACTCTTCACCCCTAGAACCTCGTCACTATCCCTACTGCAGATGGGGACACTGAGTGGAGAGTTTCAGTCACTAGCCCCAGGTCAGAATTTGAGCCCAGGCAGGCCAGCTCCAGTCTGCACCCCTAGCCACTAGCCACTGAGCACTGATCTGCCTTAGGCGTCTGCAGGGGTCCTGCTGGGCCACCGAGGACCCTTAGCGCTCTGGTTCTCCAAGTGGGGTCCTTGAGCCAGCAGCACCCGGGAACTTGTTAGAAATGCAAATTCCCAGGCCTCATCACAGGCAACTAGATCAGGCACTTCGAGTGCCTGGGGATGGGACCCAGCCATCTGTAACGCGTCCTCCAGAGAAATCTGAAGCTTGCTCAAGTTTGAGTGCCACTGTTCCAAATGTTCTCTAAGGTTCTTTGTAGAGCTGAGCTAAGAAGGAGGCAGGGCCAGAAATGCAGGATATGACAAAGGTGAAGCAAGAGGGACTCACGGCCATGGGGACCTGTTTCTTAGTAGAATGCCTGGATGTGAAGAAGGGCTTGGGAATTAAGTCCAGTGTTCCAGAAATGCAATAGTTACCACAGATGGGCAAAGACCAAGAGGGGTCTGAAAGCGTGCAGGTGAGTTGAATCAAGACGGGATCTAGTGAACAGTGAGCAAGGAGTTTTGCAAATCTGGATGGAAGCAAAATAAATGCAAGTTTCAAGTGAATGGTGAAATTGGCTCTGGCTGAAAATGATGGAAAATTGTCGAAATAAACTTTTCAGAACTCTGGAAATTAACTACAGGCTTGCAACAATTCCTGGAGATTTATTCAAGAAAAATGACTGAATCTCAGAGAGAACTGCGAGCTGCGCAGCATTTTACCTTGCCCTGTTGCCATCTCCTTCTTCCCAGCTCCACAGTAGCTGTGAACGCAGAAAGCTGGCAGCCACTGGACAGGGAAGCCAGGGAGTGAAACTCCCTGAAAGTCCTACTCTTAGAGATCATCATTGTCTAACCTGTCTGGAAGTTCCCAGAAACTCCCCGTAGTCATCTGTGACAAAGAACATAGACTTTACACCCTTTATCCAGGGAAGTTATTTAATAAACAACAGAAACAACAAAGCCTGGGCAGATGTGATTTCCAGAGTAACCACATTATGTTATTTCATATGTCCAGTCTTCAACAGCAAAAACAAGGGGACATAAAAAGATTCATGAACTATGGCCCATACATGGGGGGAAAAAGACAGATAGAAACTGTCCCTGAGGAGGCCCACATGTTGAACTGACTATATAAAGACGTCAAGTCAGTGATTACAAATACTGTATGGTCAGCCCTCCTATCCACATTTCCGCATTGCAATTTTCAATCCATGATCAGTTGAATCCACAGACACAGAAGGTTAACTATCGGACTTAGAGCATCTACAGATTTTGGTATCCCCAGGGGTCCTGGAACCAATCCCCCACAGATACCAAAGGACAATTGTACATTCAAAGAATTAAAGAAAGCCCAATCTAAAGAAATAAAGGAAAGTACGAGACCCATGCCCCACCAAATACAGAACATGAATAAAGAGACAGAAATAAAGAAATTATCAAAATATATATCTATAAATTCTGGAGCTGAAAAGTACAGTAACCATAATGAAAAAATCACCAGTGGCTCAACAGCAGATTTGAAGGTAGGTCCACTGAGATTATCCAGGTTGAAGAAGGGAAGCTGTCTTAGTCAGTTCCAGCTGCTAGAACAGAATGCCACAGACAGGGTGGCTTCAACAATAACTCTGTATTTCTCACTGTTCTGGAGGCTCAAAGTCTGAGGTCAGGATGGCAGCATCGTCCTTTCTTAGCTTCGGTCCCAAGCTTGCGGATAGCTGCTTCCTTGCCATATCCTCACATGGCAGAGAGCGCTCTGGTCCCTTCATCTCCTTACAAGAGCACCAGTCCCTTCACAGGCTCCACCTCAAGACTTCATTCAAACCCAATTACCTCCCAAAGACCCGCCTCCAAATGCCACCACATTAGGGACTGGGGTTTCAACACATGAATTTGGGGGTTGGGTCACAAACATTCAGTCCATAACAGAATGGGGAAAAAGGATTTTTTTTAATGATTTATTGGCCAGTGGCTCATACCTTTAATCCCAGCACTTTAGAAGACCAAGGAGGGAGGATTGCTTGACCCCAAGAGTTTGAGACCAGCCTAGACAACAAAGCATAGACATCATATCTACAAAAAATAAGAAATTAGCTGAGCACGGTGGTGTGCAACTGTGGTCCCAGTTACTCAGGAGACTGAGGTGCGAGGATCACTTGATCCCAAGAGTTTGAGGCTGCAGTGAACCATGATTGCACCACTGCACTCCAGCCTGGGCAACAGAGCAAGACCCTGTCTCTAAATAAATAAATAAACAAACAAAGTTTCAGAGATCTGTGGGACACCATTGAGTGTCCCAAGATATTCACAATGGAAGTCAAAAAAGGTGTTTTCTGCCACAAGACCTTTGCACCAACCGTCTGCCAGAGTCATTCTACCCTTATATATCAACAGGGCTCATCTGTTTCCTCTCCCAGGTCTCTCTCTCTTCAAATATCACCTACCCACTGAGGCCTTCCCTGATCTCCCCATGTAAAAAGCAACTCCCTGCCTCCTCTCACCACAAGCACCTCCAATCCTGCTGCACTGCTTTGTTTGCCTGTGTAGCTGCTGTTCATCTGATATTCTGTGTCTCCATTTGCTTCTTTGGTTGTGGTCTCCTCCCACTCCTAGGGGTAGGTTCTAGGAAGGATAAGAGGTCACTGTGAGTCACTGTCACACCCTAGCTACCAGCACAGTCTTGGCATCCTACAGATGCTCAACAAATACTTTTTGAATGAATGAATTCAATCAGCCATAAAAATGTCTAAATGCGACCAGGCAGGGTGGCTCATGCCTGTAATCCCAGCACTTTGGGAGGCTGCATCAGGCAGATCACTAGAGCCCAGAAGTTCAAGACCAGCCTGGGCAATATGGGGAAACCCTGTCTCTACCAAAAATACAATAATAAGCTGGGTGTGGTGGTGTGTGCCTGTAGTCCCAGCTACTTGGGAGGCTGAGGCGGGAGGACTGCTTGAGGCCGGAGGTCAAGGCTGTAGTGAGTTGTGATTGTGCCACTGCACTCCGGCCTGGGTGACAGAACAAGACGTTATCTCAAAAAGAAAAAAAAAAAAGTCTAAATGCTTTCATCCAGAAAATTCACTCCTGGGAGATTAAGCAAATAATTCAAGAGAAGAGAAGTTATATGAATGCAAATGTTCATTGTCACAGAGTTGTGTTTGTCAAACTTCATTTTACCAAAGGCATAGGGAAGGCTCATAAGGAAAAATCAGCACAGGGAGTTGGGTTTTCAGGAAACGTTCCTGAGAAGAGAGTTTTGAACAGAATCTTAGAGGAAATGGCAAATTTGGTTTGGCAGAAGAAAGACAAGCCAAAGTCCCAGGAAGAAGAATGGGTCCTCACAAATGAAACCTGAAGGGCACCAATCACCTGAATCCGTGGGACCCTCAGGGGGAGTACAGTTAGGGGCGCAGAGCAAAGCTGGTGATGAAGTGAGAGGTGTGGTCAAGAAACCCACCTGAAATTCAGTATAAACACAACTGAGCCCTTTCTCAGTAAACATTGGAGAACTTCAAAATACTGGAAAGGTAATGTTGGCATCTTACAGAAACTGTTTTAAAATACCTGCAAATGTGCAAAATATCTGAGATTTGCTCTTCCAGATCAGGAACGTTATTCTGCCACTCCTGGCAGATCCTGTCAAACAGACGCCCACAGAGTCTCTAACACAGAACCAGCTCAGATCGGCAAGGGCAGGACCTCTCTGTCTGGCGAACACTTCCGTGCCTATTAAGGATCCTGTATCAGATCATTCGGGAGCTGTCAGTGTGTTTGCAACTCTGTCAGAAAAGATTTGAGAGTAATTTCAACAGGAAGAATGAGAAGCAATTCCTCTTCGTGTGAAAAGTCCTCAGACAGGAAAACTCTTCAGGCAAAAATATTTGAGAACATGACAATAACGACAATGACAATGACAACAGTCTTGGGGCATAAATGGATCAAAGGACATTTATGGGGTTTCTCTCTTAAGCGATGGGCAAGTTATTTAGGCACAGGTAAGCTGAGTGACAGTCATGGGAAATTGTAAGCACTAACTTGCTTGTTTGGCAAACCTTTATGGAGACCTGTATCACATCAGGCACAGCTTTGATCCCAAGGCTGTGTGGTCCTGGTGTCTCACCACACCCTCAAGGCCCTGCTGGGAGGCAGGAGGTGTGAGAGTCGGTTCTAAAATATCTTCTTCTCCTTCGCAGACCTCAAAAGCACTCCTTCCTCCTCCCCCACCACTACACTTGTGGCAAAGTCTCTTCAACAAGTTCAGACTCACGCAAGGCTGGAGGAAGGGTGGTCTTCAACCAGTTTCTTGAAGCAAGGACATGTGAAGAGTACAGCTATCTGCTCCGAATGGGCACGGGGAGGAGACAGAAAAAAGAGAACAAAACACAAATAAACTAGCTCATCTCATTAGTATCACAGGAAACTACAAGCCATTAGCAGTGTCTGAACAGCAGAAAAGAAAATGATCGAAAAGAATGCTATCATCGGTTGAGTATGGTGGCTCACACCTGTAATCCTAGTACTTTGGGAAGCCGAAGTGGGTGGATTGCTTGAGCTCAGGAGTTCAAGACCAGCCTGGGGAACACGGTGAAACCCTGTCTCTACTAAAATACAAAAAAATTAGCTGAGAGTGGCAGCGTGCACCTGTAATCCCAGCTACTTGGGAGGCTGAGGCAGGAGAATCACTTGAACCTGGGAGGTGGAGGTTGCTGTGAGCCGAGATCATGCCACTGCCCTCCAGCCTGGGTGACAGAGCAAGACTCTGTCTCAAAAAAAAAAAAAATGCTGTCATCAAATTATGCTTCTGGCCTTGATGGAGAACCAGAGGAGCCCTTCTGCTGCAAAAATATAAAATTTTAAAAAATTACGGGACGAAATACATGAAAAGCCTGTTTTCATACAATTGGATGTGAACAGGAGCTTCAGAGTGTAAACTAAAAATAAAATCCTAAGTGCCCCCCACAAATTAAACGAGCCCTCTCTGGGCCAAAGGGAACCCTGAAAAACCTTAAAAATTGAGTTCCCAGCCATGACAAGATGGGCGGTCAGACATGCCTCATTAACGCCTTCCATGTTGCAGTTTAGACACAGCTGATGAGCATTAATGCTAAAATAGAGCTCATAAAACTGACAACAGATTCTATGACAATAAGATATCAAACTATAAATAAGACCTATGGCCACGCCAGGTGTCAGGTTCATGACTACGCCAAATGTCACGCTTGGGGTCAGGTTCCAGCCCATGCTGAGGTTCAAAGGGAGTGGGCAGATGAGCAGAAAGAACAGTCATGGGGCCGTAGGCAGGTGAATATGGTTTTATTCAGCAGCAGCTTTCATCAACAGCTTTCTCACGCTGTCTGCCCTGTCTCAGCTGCTTAGTCTGGTGGCTCCCACACACACAGCTGCGCAGCCAGTTCTCCCTTGCCTTCAAGGTTGGCAGCTTAACTCTGTCTCTCTCTGGGCACCAGTGAGCCAAGCTGTGTCCTGGCTCCCCTCTGTCCATCTGCAAAGATGGACAGCTGTGACTCTCTTTCTCAGGGTGCCAGCGCCTGTACAGTGTCGGCAGGGCAATTATATCTTTCACAGACAATAGTGGCTTAATGCCAAGGGATGGCCTTCCCATGTTATGGCTCCATGGATGTGATAACAAGTGGAGTTATACGCCTGCGCTCTAAACTCGCTGAGTCACGCAGAATGTAAACATCCCACCTCAGCCCATCCTTGATCAAATCACAGCCATGTTCCTTACACCAAGGAACGGTTGAGTTACTCACCCCTATGCTTAAAGAATAAGTGCTGTTCAGCAGCCACAGGGTTTTTCTTTTTCTCTACCATTTAAATAAGCACTGGTCTCAGGATAAGCAATATTAAAACAATTTGCAGCTCATGCAGATAAGGCAGAGGGCCCAGCCATAACTACAGCTTTGATTGTACAAGATACTGATGTCAGTAACTTTCTCTAGATGAGACACCACCAATCCAATCATGAACTAGTCCTAGCCAGTTTACAGAGGCTGCATACTTGAGTGCTTTTGTGTCCTAAAAAGAACTTTTGACCTATAGGGCCTAATTGTAATACACTCAAATATTATTTTCCACCCCAAGTGAACATGGGTTGTATGTTACATGCATGTTTGTTCAATATGCATGTCAGGACCCCCTTCATGAATACTCACATCTCCTCTGATAACCTGTTGAATATGTACATTTGGTCAACATGTTCAACTTAAATTCCTGACTTACCCCTTTTTCCCCCAGAGAGCCTGTCTCTGGTCTTTGATGGAGGCTCTTCCCAGCCTACAGGATGGCCACCCTGCAGGCCGTAACCCCTTATAAGAAATAAAGTCTCCTCGGCAGGCGTGGGGGCTCATGCCTATAATCCTAGCTCTTTGGGAGGCCAAGACAGGAGGACTGCTTGAGGCCAAGAGTTCAAGACCAACCTAGTCAACATAGTAAGACCCTGTTGAGGCAGGAGAATGGGGTCGAGAAGCAGGAAACCTAAGGCCAATTCATGTTGACTTCTAGAACTAAATCAAAAGGAAAACCCCAACTTTTCACAACTAAGTAACAAAAGGACCAGAGGCAAACCCTCCTTGCCTTCCCATTTTCTACATCCAGTCAGACTGATTGCAGGCTAAGTCTTTGTTTGCACAGAAGTGTAAGTTTGTAACTTCACTTTAGCCTCTGGATTGCTTTCCACAACCAATCAGACATTTGCATAGGGTGTAACCTTTGCAACTTCACTTCAGCCTCTGCAATCAGACAGACTGCAGGCCACTACTTCATTTGCATGCGGTGTAGAGCAAGTGGCCCATGGGAAACCTCTAGAGGGCATTTAAACCCCAGAAAATTGTGTAACCAGGCTCTTGAGTCCCTATGCTCAGGTCTGATCCCATCTTGTGGAGTGTACTTTCGTTTTCAATAAATCTCTGCTTTTGTTGCTTCATTCTTTCCTTGCTGTGTTTGTGGGTTTTGCCCAATTCTTTGTACAAGATGCCAAGAACCTGGACACCCTCCACTGGTAACACTGCCTCTATTTGGAAAAAAAAAAAAAAAAACGTGAAACCCTGTCTCTACTAAAATACAAAAATTAGCCAGGCATGGTGGCAGGTGCCTGTAATCCTAGCTACTTGGGAGGCTGAGGCACGAGAATTGCTGGAACCCAGGAGGCAGAGGTTGCAGTGGGCCGAGATCATGCCACTGCACTCCAGCCTGGTCAACAGAGCAAGACTTTGTCAAAAAGAAAAGAAGAAAAGAAAAGAAAAAAAGAAAAGAAAAGGGAAGGAAGGAAGGAAGGAAGGTCTCCTCGTCCAAATTTATAGACTGTGTTTTTTTTTTTTTTTTTTTTTTTTTTTTGGAGACGGAGTCTCGCTTTGTCGCCCAGGCTGGAGTGCAGTGGCCGGATCTCAGCTCACTGCAAGCTCCGCCTCCCAGGTTCACGCCATTCTCCTGCCTCAGCCTCCCGAGTAGCTGGGACTACAGGCGCCCGCCACCTCGCCCGGCTAGTTTTTTGTATTTTTTAGTAGAGACGGGGTTTCACCGTGTTATACAGGATGGTCTCGATCTCCTGACCTCGTGATCCACCCGTCTCGGCCTCCCAAAGTGCTGGGATTACAGGCTTGAGCCACCGCGCCCGGCCAGACTGTGTGATTTTTAAGTTAACAAGAGACAACCTGGTTTTCAAAGCCTGACTGCCTGCAAGAATATCAGGATGGGGGGAGGACGCTGCGGACACGCATGGTCACATGGCCACTGACACTAACTCACTCAGGGCAGACAGATGTGGCAGAGAAAATCAAGTATTCAGCCTGAAATGCTGAGCTTCAGGTGAACAAAGAACAACCAGGTGATGCCAAGCAGCGACCGGGGATGTAAAAGTAAGGCGCAAGAAGGAAGAACACCACGCCTGGGTTTGGAAGTGCATTGGAATAAGCCTGTTGCGTAGCGTCTTCATGCATAAACACTTTCCCTCTCCTCCACATTTATCTAGTCTCCTTTGCCTAAAAGACCATTTCAAACGGAGCCATTAGGAGCCAGCTCCTGGACTCCCACAAGCAAAGTAAATAGCTTTGGCACCCAGCATCTGACTGTGCTAATTGAGGTCCAGTGGAAAGGCTGGGCTGGGAAACAGCCTGAACTCCTGGGTGAGAATGACGTGGATTCAAATTTCAACTCTGCCACCTACCAGCTGTGCTTCCCGGAGTCATTCACAACCTCCTGAGCTTCAGAATCCTCTGGAGTGAAACAGAGATAAAACTCATCTCATAGGGTAATGAATTTCACAAACCAGTTCCCAACTGGAGGCACTCGGTGGTGGCAGCTGCGGCGTTTGCGCTGTAATTGTTGCTGGGCTCCCTTTCTCTCTCCCCCTCCTAGACTCAGCCCCACCGAGCAGCCCCGGCTTCCACAGGCCCCCATGAGTCACACTGGTGCCTGGTGCTGCAGAGCTGGAGGGGGCTGTGGGGAAGGAAGCTCAGCTGGCCACCCCAGCAGGGCTCATGGAAATCCTGAGCATGACTCAGCTGTGACGATCTGAATTCACATTTGTGATCTGTCAGACACACAGGAACGAGGCCAGCATCAGCCTGCCACCTTCTGCCAGGAAGAAGATAACCAATGCTAGCAACTGTGAGTCACCACAGAGGTTTCGCTGCAGATTCACCTCGGGAATGCACGGGGGTGAGGGGCTGTCCTGAGGTCCAGTAGATGTTTCCCGGGGGGACAGGCGTGAAAAGCAAGTTGGGACTGGGCTTAGATGTCGTGGAGAGGGGACATGGCCTCTGCAAGGATCTTCCCAGAAGGGTGCCCTCAAGGTACCACGACGGCACGGGCAGTAAGGACGTGGACTCTCGGGGCAAGCCTGCTTTCCTCCGGAGCAACTCGGAGCTTTAGGGCATTCGCTGGAGGGCCTCATGCAGGACGGCTGCACTGCAAGTTGCTGAAAACCAGAGGACGCAGGGCGCGAAGCTCAGCAAGCAAAGGTGACCAGCTATCCCGAGAGACTGTAGCAAATACCGGAAAAGCGACGCTGGGCCCACGCCTGCGCGCTAGGAGGACGCCATGGCAACCGCAGCAGCACCGCCCCCCGGAGCCCGGGGCCCGGCGCCTGGGGCGTGGCCAGGGAACTCCCAGTCAATCGACGCCGCGGACGCACGGTCACGTGGGCGCTGAGGACGCGGACGGTCACGTGGCCGTCGAGCCAGCCGGGCTCTCTCGCCTTGGGCCCTTCGGAAGCGTCTGCGGACCTCTGGAACCCTAGCGGCTGGGTCTTTTTGCGGGAGCGGCCTAAGCCGGCTGCTCGCGGCCCCTGCCGCTGGCAGCCTGCAAGCGGCAGGCTTAGTCCCGTCGCGGCCCCGAGAGGCGGCTGCGTTCAGAGGCGTGCGTGGGGACTTCCGAGCCTGCGATTTCCCGGCTTTTGAGCATCTTTGTCTCCACTCTCCACGTCGTCCTCTCAGGAAAACTTAAGGTCCGAGAAAACGTTCCAGCAGGAAGTCTGGGGAAATCGGATGGGAGCAGCGCATGCCAGGAACGCGCCAGCTGCTCC